AAATAACAATATAGATTTATTAAAAATACACATGTTTGTCTCATTTATTAAGGTAAAGCTAAAATAAATCCATAAATAATTAATTGATATTGTCAGCCTGTGATATGTGTAAATAAATTCTCATTTCCATTGAACTATGCAATCAGATTTTGGAAATTATTTTCCATTTAATAGGTCAGTTTGGAAGTTAATTTGAAATATCAGATATATGCATTATTTAATAAAATTCGTCAATTACAGATACTACGAATGCGCGAATTAGGTAAATAAAATACATGTGCTAACGCGATGGTAAAGACACACATCTCTTGCATGATTTCTTTATCAAATACAAGGATGTTGCGTAAATTGGAACAGATCTAAGTCAATTTACGACGTACTACCAACATTACAAATCCCGTGGAAATGTTTACAAGTTGATTCATTGGGAAGATTTAATGTTTACTTATTTTGTTACAAGATCATCTTATTCAATTTAGAGTTTAGCGTCCATTAGTTTCGGTTCTTACAATGTTGTTTGATTTTCCGTATTTTCTTATCTTACGTAAGTGCTAGGAAAATATAGGTAACTTTTCCACGACTAATGTATCTTAAATATATTTATTTTATCATATAGTTTAATATCACTATAATTTGGACCAGGGATATAGAGTGACTCTTGTGGTTTTTAAGGAAACAAATTAAGATAAAATATAATATAGATACCTCGGTGTTAACACCGCTCGTTTGCCCGCCTTCTCTTATAAAAAAAAAGATAAATGTAATTTTGTATTTAAGACATTATTGTTATGTATATTGTATTATGACTTATTAATTTTACCGTGGGTTTCTGACACAAAAATATCAGTTTAAAACTGATTGTTATCTCTGGTTAGTTAAAAATAATGAAAGGCATGACAATATGTTTTATACAGAGTTCTCAGAAACTCACGATTATTATAGAAATTCATAAATCGATATACTGAAGTATAGCTGAATGGGAAAACTAAACAAAATAAATAGTAAACAAATCGACAAGCTATTACAATATTAAAATGTAGTAAACTTTGTTTTATAATAGGTTTTTCAATTTAGTAGAAGAAAAAGTAAAATCTCACAGATTAAAAAAGGGAATATGTATTAGAAAATATAGCTTGTAAAGTCAAACGCAGTTTGCAATATTAATCTTTATTTGCTTACTAACTGTCGCCTGCGACTCCGTCCGCGCGGTGTTAGTAGCTTACATATGTGTATTTCCAAGCTATGTTCTACATCTATGCCAAATTTCAGAGAGATCCATTCAGCTGTTCCAGAGATAACTTCTAAGAAACATCTATCTATCAATCCAAACATTCGCATTTATAAAACGAATAAGAAGTAAGATTACAAAACAGACTGTAAGGGAATTATTTTCGAAAGTTTTTTTATTCATAAAATATGTTTTCTTTTGTCTAATAAAACTTTCTATTTAACTTTAATTTGTAACTTTCAAACACATTTTAATCAACTTATTTAGTTTTTTATCATACATATCATACAAATTCATTTATAATCAAGGTCAATACCATGAGGTTATAGTACGTAGTAAACAATAGACAGGGCAAAATGATATTTTCTTCAAATTCAATTGGCTTAAAATTGTCTTTTTAAAGACTTCTTTAAGAATAATTTAAATACGCAAGACAGTCTTTAACTCGTCTGAGTACGTTTAAACTTTATTAAATAATCTTTTGAGCGAAACGGAATGAATTAATAATAGTGTCTCACGATAGTTTTTATGATTAAAATCTAAATAAAAACAAACTAAGATATTAAGCAAAGCTACTAAGCTAAATGATACTTGAAACTCTACTGCAATTTTTTTTTTAAAACGTTAATACGATTTAATGTGCAGTAGCAAAAATTTCCTTTTATCAATTTTTTAACTTAATACATCATCCTATCCTTTTTCTTTTATTGATTTGACTTAGTATACGAATATATCCTTAATGTACGTAACGTTAAAGGATTGCGAAATTTTTTAACATCCTTGTTCCGGTCTATTTGTTCTTAACTCTGTGTCATAATGACTTTGCTGCGGCCAACCTTGGTGCATATCGATCGCAAACAGCACATCTTCACCCCATGCTAACCTTGCTTATGTAATGTTGGACATCGATTAATTTCCGTTGCCGTTTCCACTGCCGAATACAGGTAAAAATACATATTCTTGTCTCTGTTTTCTTTAACCCGAATAAGAGGGATAACATTATAATGTTGTATTTGTGTTTCGTCACTGAAAAGTCACGATAAATAACATGGTGGTAACACATGTAACCTTAAAGCAATGCAGTCTTTGTGTAGAAACTGTTTAGGAACAATTGGAATGCACATAATGTGCACTTTAAGGGAGTACTATATGCGGATTCATTCCAGCATTTTGGCTACTGCTAAAAAGTCTAAAAAACATCATAAATTTTTAATAATAGAAATAGTAGTGCTGCAATAACCACAATTTTTAAAAACCAAAAAAACCTGAGTGACGGCCTCTGTAAGATGAAATAGCGCCATCTATCGTCTGCGTTTTAAAACAAAGATTTTAACATTTTTAATTTAAACTAATTAAACTGTAATTTTTATGTATTGCTCTCTTACTTAAGAAAGTAGTCAAATACAACGCAAAAAAGATTTAGCAATAAAAAAAAAGTTTTGGCAAGTGAGATTAGAACTGGGTCCTTTCACTATTCTTTTTGAATTTCAACTGTTACGATCTGTCACGAGAGAAAAAGAAAAATGGAGGAAGAAACATAAGACTTGGCTGCGGCCTATACATTATAAAATTCTCTATATTCAAAATAAAAAAGACAAGGCTGTATGGCTTAGTTCTTTTGCCTGCTCTTTCGAGTGAATAATAAAAACAACAACAATCAACTGTTACGTCTACTATATGTGTTTTGTTTCAATAGATTATAAATTATGACACTCCGAGGAAGAAGACGAATCGAATGACATCTCACTTGACAAAATCGGTTGAGTAGTTTAAGCTCTGTCACAATGGATTTTACATAGTACATACAAATCCACATACATAAAAACAAACATACGCACTATTATAATATATACCCTATTTGTCAATCTGGTAATAAAATACGTAACAATATAACGTGTCCACACAAGCGCCCTGTCCCTGAACTTGTGTTAGTTTTGTTCGCTGCATTTCGTTATTAGGAATCGTCAAGTCGACGGGAAGCGCTAGATTGCCCGCCGCCGTTATTCAAAAGGTGATTCTTGCGTCAAGGTATGTCGTTAATCATAGACTGTACATAGATACATGGCAACGTGTACAGACTATTCACTTATTTCTCTTTTCATTGCATCCTCTAATAAATTCCGTATGTAACAGCAAAACAATGGAACATTTATGACATTAGTATAGCCGTCCCACTTACTCTATTTTAAAAAATCCGAGGTAACAATATGATCACATACAGGTATCATTGCAAAAGAAATTGCTTTGTTTTGTGTTAAATTTTAAATCTTTTTTTTTAAAGTAACTCATAATATTCGGAGTGTGTTCACCTTTTCAAACGATTATTCGGTCGACGAAATAATTAAGTTGGCTTGCAATTAAGTCGTTCTTCTCGTAATTAAAAAGCTAATAAGATTCTAAATAAACGAAAACCTAACCGAGTCGTTTACTCATGCTAAAGGTTCAAATTAAGCTTTGAAACATCAAAATATTAAAAATAAATATTATGAGCTCTATGTATTAAAGGTTTAGGTAAAATCCAATTTGTCGTGCACATTTTTTTTCGAAAACATTTCAAGTAACTTTAAAAGGTATCCTTGGCGCGAGTTAGTAGCTTTCGGGACATTAAACTCTTATTAACTTCGTGCTGGCAAGTTCCCCGTCTGATATGTATGTTGGTTTTAAAAACTAATACTACTCAAAATATTATTAATTTATAGATTCTAAACATTTGTCAAACAAAATACATAATATATATCAATAGTGACATTTCACGGTTTTTTTTATTATTATGTAACGACACGTCTGCGCGGTTAATCTTTGACCCTCGGAGAGTTGACAACACACTAGCGCCGCTCTAATAAGGATATGTCGTCGCAGCACTGACGATGTTATTAACTGGCAATTACAGGAACGGTTAATTGGTACGTGTACGTAATACACGGAACAGTGGGGGATGGTAATAGCTCTTTTGTTGTTCGATTTCTTTGTAAGTGAAAAGCGTTTTATTACGTAATACTTACAAGAGCGGTCGGCCTAATGGCCCTCTCAACATAATATGTATCGTAGAGAAAACAATATTTTTCCAGGATGAAATTGCTCGTGTTTGTAAAAAACAGGACACATTATTCCATTATCGTCTTCTAGGTCCTTTTCCTCGTTGACCTTTTTCTGTTTCTAAATGTTTGACAAAAGAAGTTAGTATAAAACTGTGAGATAGTTTTACTTGTACTTCAATTTTTCATATTTGAATAATATTCCACGGAGTTTTAAAACATAGTCCATCAGTAAGTAAAACGGAGGCATATTTTATTGGTCTTTTAGCTGTTGCTCCTGTTATTTCCTTCTGCAATATCAATCGACAAAGAAGTATCAACTAATAATTATGTCACAGTGGCAGTGGTAGACACCAGCAACAACATGTGTTGCACGAATGGGCCGCTCGACCAGTGCAGTACCACGACCACACAGATAACAGCCTGATTTTGGACCTGGATGGAAAGGGGAAGTTGATTTGATGGATAAGTGGACGAGTAGGAAGAGGAAATATTCTCTTTTTGTGCGTTTAATCCTATGGGCAACAGTTGATCTCTATTTCGGCAATTCGGCATCAAGAGGAACTATGTCATAGATTTATCGTTATTGTAGCAAAAATAATTATATTGTTAATAAAATTGTTTATTGTTGTATAGTTGATACTTAAGTTAACCTTCATAGTAGCTTTAAGCCAGTTTATTTTATTACAGTGTAAAGTAGTCAGTAATTTAATTAACACACAGTAGTTTCGTACGAGCTCGGGAAACCTTTCAGTATATTCTCCCTGACTGGTCGGTGTACTACTTTATCATGGTGGAAGGTGAGAAATAAAATAGAAAATTGTGTAAAATGTGTATTTTAATATAGGATCTAGTGTATAATTTATTAACTTCCAAATACAATATATGTAATTTAAAAGTAAATATTGAAAAATGACAATTTAAAAATACATAGTTACTTTAATTTGAAAGATAAAATAGAAAATCGTTAGTAAAATTTCCATTGAACGCTACTCTCCTTCAGTGGAGCACAAAAGCCGGTACTTAGCCTAAATCTATAGCCGCTCTTTCGCTTGCACGTTTTTATTTTTATCATTTTTTTAATATTTAATTCAGAATAAAATGCAAAATTTAATTCAAATAATTTTACTGTGGAATAATGTAACTGAATTGTTATAGTTTTGGTTTTTGAGAATTATTTTAGATAAAAGTTATTGTAAATGGCAAAAATAATGATAATTTAAATTTCTTCGAAGATAGCCTGACGTTTGAAATGAAGGAACAAATAGCAGCATCGTCCTTTTTACTCTCTTAAAAGCAATTGATTCTATAACATTTTGTTTTTTATTTTATTTTTTTTTATAAAAATATTAGCAGATTTTTTTAGTAAATTTACTAATATTTCTTTTACCATTCCAACTAAGCTATAGGCTTGTGCTAGGATAAGGTTTACGACAATAGTCGAATGGCGGGATTCGAACCCCCGACGTCGTGATCGGAAATCCGTACCCTTAACCATTAGGCTATTGACGCTCTAAATTGCTTTTTCCTCAGTTGCAGATCCTGGTGTAGTTAAGTCAGGGGCTTACAAGTATGAAGATGGGACCCGATATGTAGGTGACTGGAACTCAAAGGGTCAGAAACATGGCATGGGCCATTTGTTGCTGCCAGACGGGACGAGATACGACGGCTGTCTGGCTAGTGGCATGTGCTCCGGGCTGGGTGTCATGGCATTCCCTGATGGTGCCAAGTAAGTATACGATTAAATATATCATGATTATTTCAAACATTTTAAACCAATTCTTAATTTTTATATTTACACAGTAACGTTTACTAAAATTACTTGTTATATTTAAATGTACTTTAGTACTTTTTGTAAGTAAAATAATAAAAACCCGACACGTGGGTTTCTGAGACTAACATTTCCGTTTAAAACATATTGTTTTGTCAAAGATAATGACAGCGATGACGTTATGTTTTATACAGAGATATTGATCTCAGGAACCAACGGTGATTTTATTATACAACTAGCTGTCGCCCGCGAATCCGTCGGCGCGGAATTAAAAAAAAACTATTGGTCGCAGCGTAATGTTATATAAGTCTTCCTCTAAAAATGGACTATCCAACGCAAAAAAAAAAGAATTTTTCAAATCGGACCAGTAGTTCCTGAGATTATCGTGTTTGAACAAACAAACACTTCCGCTTTATAATATTAGTATAGATGATATTCGTCAAAATTGTTTCAGGCATGTAGTCTTCAGGAAGTCTCTATGGAATTGTGATACATACAAAGTTTTATATATAAAATATCAAGCTAATAAAAGTCATACCTCCAGAAGGAAATGATTATTTAAAAAGAAGAGATTAACCTCATCCGCTATAATTTAAATCAGTACCTGATTAAAGTAAATTGTAGCAATCAAAGCTTTGAGGTTAATTTCCGTCCGCAAAAAGGCATTTTATTAAATCTCTTATATATTTAATATTCATTTCTTTTTTGAACAAATACTTCGAAATTCAAATTCATGCTTCAGATAACATTAAATTGTTAAATTTACGAAATTTTCGCCCACGGGAATATTAACATTATTGAATTTATTGTCGACAAATGTGTCAATATTTGTGTTACCTTGACAATTCGACTTTATTTGTATACTAGCTGTCGCCCGCGACTTCGTACACACGGAATTAAAGAAAAACTTCATTGATTTTTCGAGACTATGTCCTACACCAATGCTAAATTTCATCAAGATTTGAGCCGTTCGGCTATTTATTAATAAACTTCCGAGATATTTTCTAATAAACTTCCATCCATCCATCAAAACTTCTGCATGTATGATATTAAGATTAAACTAATGAGGTGAACATTTATATCCTTGATCTGAACCTTTGATCACTCAGCTGAACGCCTGTTTATAACCTGTTGTAAATGAACTGCAAACATTTGATGTATTTAATCTAATAGAGAAGAAAACAATTTCAGATACGAAGGCGAGTTTATGCAGGGCTGGTTCCACGGCCACGGAGTATTCTGGCGGGCGGATGGAATGAAATTCGAAGGCGAGTTCCGAGGCGGTCGTGTTTGGGGCTTAGGTGTGTACGTTCATGAATGTAAGAATCGCAAGAGATAGGAATCAATTAATATTTCATCACTAGTTGTCGCCCGGGACTCCATCCCCGCGGAATTAAAAAAAAACTTAATTAATAGCCCTCGTGTTCTTCCAGGCTATGTTCTACATCCATGCCAAATTTCAGCGATATCTATGAAACTTTTCTGGTTTTTGCTCTTATACTATTACTAAGATATACGCAAGACGTTTTATTTGCAGAGCTGTGTAACATGGTCATATATCGCCATAGTGTGGAAATCATTGAGGCACCCCTAAAAGTAGTACGTTCATTGGCTGCCACCCCAAATATCCAACACCTGGGCTTCTCCCTAGGTCCGGTGTATTAAAACTTAATATTAACAAAAGAAAATTAATAACAGTATTCAACTTGCAAGTAAAATTGATTAGGCAAGGTGAAATAAGAAACAAAAGTTTTTATATTTCTTTTCTTGAAAATATTACTTCTTGGAAGTTCCTTATTAATAGCATAATATAATTTCTCACACAAATGGAGGAAATAAAAGAGAAGAATAAAATTAAAATGAGAATCTACTTTTAGCTTCCAACAGAATAAAAATATGTTTCTAACTAATAAATCTCTTAGTATCTTTTGTCGTATTTACATTATTGTTGATAAGCGATTTCTGTAATAAACTACTAGCATCTTAGTTTTATAAAATGGCGATATTTATCAGTGTATGTAAATGTTATAGTTCGTTATTATTTAACTTTAGCTATTACCTGAGACTCCGTCCGCGCGTAATTAAAAAAAAAACTTAACTAGTAGCCTATGTGTTCTTTCAGACTATGTTCTACATCATTGCCAATTTCGGCGAGATCCATCCTGCCGCTCTCGAGATAAATTCAAATAATCACAAATTCAAGCATCCATCCATCCAAACAATTTCGTTTATAATATTAGTACGATTATTTCAGCCCTCACTTAGGGTAGTTGGTAGCCCTCAGTGGACATGGGTATTAACAGACGATTACTCAACATTTTTAGATGGACAAAGTTGATTAAATAACTGAAATGACTAAGTTTTTTCAGTTTAAACGACCGAGCTAATTTTAATTTACTTTTATTAATGAACATTAGAAGCTAAGAAAATATTTTTTTTTCATATTCGTTGTTTTTAATTAAAGAATTTATCAATTTCTAGGCTTGGTGACCTTCAGTGATGGGAGCAATGGATTTCCTAGAAATGAAGGTTTCTTCCAGGACTGTAAGATGGTGCGGCGCAAACGTTGCCCTGAAGTGGTTCAGAGGGCCCAAAAAGTTGCTTACATGGCGCGCGCGCAATGTCAACAAGTGTAAAAGATCTACTCTTGTCAGAATTCGTTCCCTTATGACGGTTGCCGGGCGCCATATTTAATCGTGAAATAACTAGAAAGGGCTAATTTGGCTGTTTAAATATTTCGTTAGAGATAAATTAGATATGCTGCGTGGCGTAACATCTGACAAGTGTGAACATGCTGAATGAGAACAAACACTTTAAACAATTGCGCTTATATACTTATTGTCAATATACTTTATGGAATTGCTAATGACAAGTATTTTTAATTTTGTTTTATACTTGCTAATTTGGCATCTTTAAACAAGTTATTAAAAATCAACGTGTTCATTTATTTATCATATTTTTAATATAGTACATTTCTTACAAAAAATATATATACAAAATATATTACATTAAAAATAGAACACCACCGGCTGCGGAATCCTATGACTCAAACAACCAGTGGTCAGAGCTGCAGAGACAGAACCTTCTCACGATGCGCGCGGTTTCTAGGATAACTGCCTTTTGTATCGGGGCCCTTAATCCAACTGTTAAGCGAGAGCTTCTTGAGATGTTGGTCGAAACTCTTCGCTATCAGTCCATTCACCGATACGACTATCGGAATAATGGTAGTCTATTTCATACACCACATGGCGGTAAGTTCGTGAGCCAAATCCAAGTATTTTAACAATTTAAAAAATATATATTAATATCTATAAAATAACGAAATTATATTAAGAAATTGACAAAACGAGTGAAGCTTTCACTGCCCTTAGTTGCGATATTACAATTCTCGCTTATTTAATGATATTAAAAAAAAAAATTAAAACATTACAGCCAAGAAAACATTTCTTACTGTACAGTCTAATTTCGTATGAAAATGGCTACGTAGGAAAAACACATCACGTTGTCGTTTTCTTGTATCTATTCATAAGAATTTATCATTGAATATTATTTTGATATACTAAAACCAATTTATATGTTGCCTAATGAGTTCATTCAACGAATATGTATCCTGCTAAAACTGTTTCAATACATTTTGATTGAATGAATCGTAATGATTAATTTATTTTATACAAAATTAATTATACACGTATTTGATGTTTTGCTGTTATTGATACGAATATATCAAAGAAGGGCAAAGATTTTTTTTATTCACGAAATACGAGGTTTTTCAGATTGTATTTTAGAATTTTTGAGAATTTCAAATGTTTTTTTATTGAATCAAAGGTTATTTTATATTTGAAAATTCAATGCGTATATTGAACTAAATTTACATTTTAATTTTTAATCATAAATTCTCTAGTATAAGCAGAGTTATTTTTAATTTGCAATATAAGTTTGTATTTTAAAATGTATAAACTTAGTTTTCGTTATAATAATTATTATATTTAAAATAAATTTCACAGTTCAAAAAACAATGAAAATCTATGTTATTTCTTTATTTGTGATTCTTTCACCTGTCTTCACGTTGTACATGCAAATGTACAGTTTAACTTTAATAATTTAGTTTAAATAAATCCTTTCAAATTTTAAAAATATATGAGATTAGTATTTAAATATGTAAACAAACTAATTGGAAATGATCATAGTCTCATTTAGTTTAATGCGAGACGTGACGTGAACGTGACGTGACCGTGAATTCAGACCAAAAATCACTCCACAAACAAGAGCTCCCTACTGGTCTAAAACTAATCGATGCTGACACTAAATTTATACGTGAGTGAATTAATACCTTTTTAATTCGTTTATCTAAATTTCCTTTTAAAAATTCAAGTTATAAAAACAATGTCGACACCAAATTAACTTTGCGTGGGTGAAACTGTTTTTAATTAGTTTATCTAAACTTATTTTCAGAATTTCAATTCTGAAGATTTGGAAAATTACTTGTTTTTAAGTTTCTATTTTAGTTTTCGTCTTGAGTGTAAACTAAGAATAAAAGGCAATTGCTTTGCTTCTTTATTTTAATTTTAAATTCAACTGTTATTATCTCAGAGCTGTTATGAATTGCGATAATGGTCTGCATATCGATGTTGTTAGTGGTACAGATCCAATGGTTCTGGCCGTGCGGTTATCTTGCGAATATTCTGTGCGGTTCCGGTTAAAGCTCGACTTTGCGGATATCCGGGCGTCGTCGTGTACAAATGCATCTGCGGTAAGCAGCTGACCGCATTTTACTTTCAATCCTTTGGTTCGCCAAAGTTCGGCTATTATTTTGTCAAAGAGATCAGACAAATTATGCATGAATTAAAAGAGCAATTTTATCTTAAAATAAATTTATTTATTAGTAAAATTTAATTATATAAAACATTAATTAACAACCGTCTGTATTATCTTATAATCTATTTATTTCAATAAATTAGTTAAAACTTAAAATACCAAAACAACTTAACATTAATTCAACTTTTTATTTACTATGATTTCTTCGTCATCCAAGCATTGACCGTACCTCACTTCCATGCATTTACTTCCCTGTAAAAAATAAACATTTTTTCATTAAAATTGTAAAAAAAAATCACCAAAAAAGATTAGAAATATTACATGAGTTTTCAGAAAAAATAACTACACAAACAGAAGCTTACTATAGGTTTCGAATCCCGTGACATTTATTATATTGTTATATCCGTTTTATCAAATAATATAAAAAGCATCGAAGATATGCATTTATCTAGTTATCTGATTTATTGTTAAATGTTAAACAAAATTATTTGCTTTAGCGTAAATTGAATTCAAAGTTCAATACTATAAACCATTTGAATTTGCCTCTGCAAACATCCGAGCATTTTTACTAATAATTTACTTTGAAATAGAGTAAAAGTGTCACTTGCATTAACAGTAGCATTAAATTTTTATAAAATGTTTATTAAATTATTATATATTATTATTATATTATATTATTATATAATTTATTAAATTAGCATTTATTATGTAGATATAAAGTGAAATACCAAACTTATTAGAACTAAGAAACGTAATTAGTGGCGTTATAGGTCCACCCTAAGAGCAGATTTATGTTACGTTGATGTACCGCGGATACCTAAACTGTTGAAAAATATTTTGACGTGAATATGTTACTCGTATATATAAAATTCTCGTGTCACAATTTTCGTTCCCATACTCCTCCGAAACGGCTTGACCGATTCTCTTGAAATTTTGTGAGCATATTGAGTAGGTCTGAGAATCGGCCAACATCTATTTTTATCCCCCTAAATGTTAAGGGTAGGCCACCCCTAATTTTTTTATATATATTATAATTTTACTATCCGCGAATTGTGAAATCATGATATTTAGATCGCGAATAAGGAGATTTCATTTCTTTTCATGAACAATTAAACACGTTCAGGCTGGTATTTTTTAAGATACAAATCATTGTCTGTTGTATACAAAAAGTAAATCTTTAGTTTATACTAATTTGGATGGACACCATATAAGTGCGAACATTGTGCACTAAAGCAGAACTATCGGGTGACGTAAGGCTCGTTACAGACAGAGTTACATCGTCCGCTTTCACTCGGAACTTGCGCTTGCATAAGATAACTCGTAACCGATACTTATGTTCACTAGAACGCTTTTCTCATTACCGATACTCGCTTTATATCTTACGTAACTTGATTGCTATCTATAAAACATAATTTTGATGTGCTTATGCAAATTCTTCGTTTAACAACGGCATTAAGGTACATTTTATTCGATTCGTAATTGCTATTTTAATTTTCAAGTATAATAATTACTGGGCGGACTGTGTTTAACTGTCTTTCTTTATAGCTAACGATTCTATTGTTTTAAAACATAAAGACTATCTTTTTTTTTATAATGTCACAAGCTATCGCCCGCGACTCCGTCCGCGTGGAAAAGGAAAGATATGTGTTCTTCCTGACTATGTTCTATAAGTGTGCCAAACTTTATCATAATCCGTTTAGCCGTTCCGGAGATACCTTCAAACAATCATCCATCCATCTAAGTATTCGTAAATTAAGTTAATTAATTAAGTTACCGATCAATTTATTCTAAACATATGTACATGCTCACACAAAGGCCTTTTTACATAATTTAGACGATGCCTAGTACATATGTATTATAGTACCTACATAATTCATTGAAGGTGGATACAGTATGGAATACGATATCAAAGGTGGTATTTACCTTAGCGATGTATGCTTTCATGTAGAAGTTGCCGAAGAGAACGATAAAGGATATCATATAGATGATGAGAACATAATGCATCCACAGAGGGAACTCGCAGCCGGTCCGGATACCGTTGACACCGAGGATAAGGGCGCAGGTGAACTGAATCTGAAATATAGATAAAAACTTAAATAGTTAATTCTGGCTCATGAATCTACACTATAGGTTTGAAAAGAGCAGACATTTGTTTTTCAGAGCTATCTATGGTTTTAAGAATGGTAATTACTACAAAAGACGTAAACATAATTATAACCGAAAGAAGAAAGCACGCACAAGCGCAAGATAAACATATTTTTTTAAAATATAAAAAGGCAAAGGTTAATTTTAGCTTTCACAAATGAGTACAGGTACAACAGATTAATCTTTATAAAACTTAATATTGAAATTAAAAAAACTAAAACAGAAGACTATCAATTTTAATTGGATTATCATGTTACCTATTACACTATGGCGAAAATCTTAATCAAACACAAAAATTAAATCAAAACAAGCTAAATACAGATACAGCAAGTTTGATTTAAAAATTTGTCATACAATACCTCATTTTCAAAGGTATGTTTATCAATAATGTCAAAAGCAAAAGCTATGTCGTCTAGATTTTAAAAAGCAATTATAAGTCTTTGAAACTGCTCGGACATGGGTCTGTTTTCAAGGAAATCAATTTTATTATTGAATTCTACTTTTTATCAATTAACGAACTCAAGCAACAGTGGTAGAGCCCGCTTTAACATCTTTGCACGTATCGGCAAGGCTCGCCCGGTGAAATACCACGACCACACAGAAGACAGGCGTGAAGTGGAACCAATTCCGCGTTTCGTCTGATGAGTGTGCGTCCTGGAGGCCTTATATAGTCCTCTTTCCCGTCCCATCCTCTTTCTTATAAGGAAAGGATGGGAAGTGGAACTGGACTTTCCGGATAAGAGGATGCATGGAAAGGGAAATCATTTTATTTCTGTGCATCCTCTCCTCCGTCGATTAAAGGTAGGCAACGCAAATGCAATTGCGTATGTCTGTGGGCAACGGTCACTTCGCTATTTCAGCGATTTCAGGTGGCCGCTCGCTCATTTGCCACATTCTGATATAAAAAAAACTCCCCGTTTCTTAAAATTCAATTAGGTACTATATATTTAATACGATATTTCAGACATTTTAGAAAGCTTTAAATACTCTGAATATGTACTGATATTTTGTTGAGTAATCTGAATGAGCCCTTGAGGTATATTTAAATGAACTGAAAATATTTTAGTAAATTATTCGTTTTTTAATAATTTATTTTATATCATAGATTTAAGACTATTCTTTAGATTCTTTGTTAGTTTATTGTTAAAAATTGCATTACTTATACTGAACATTATCATTTTGTGACCATTAACAAAATGACGAAGCAGTAGTCGTGTATTTTTTTAACACTTCAAGAGTTTGATTTCCTATCATAAAACTATCTTGTCTTCTAAACGATTTTTCTAGAAATAGAAAACAATAAACAGAATCGTAAATGTCTCGTAGATTTGTGTAGCGAACTTTTATTATCAATTTTGCAAATGCGGTTTTAATCCATTTAAATAATTTTAAAGATGTGTTAGAAGTAAATAAAATATGTCTTAACATAAAGACTAAGAAGATATTTATCTTCTCTGTATTTATATATAAATTCAAATTATTAATCAAACGTAAAATGTTTTAATAAAATGTCTAAAACTATTTAATCTAATCTTTAACTTTATACAAATATACTACGGTGCAGGCAGAATTAATCTTCGAGTTCTATTATCCTACAATCTTATTTTAAATCACTAGTTTAATGTCAAAAGTTTTTTGAGTCTTAAATGGTTAAAACAATGTATAAAAATATATAAATTAAAATTTTACATACCAGCTGTAAAATGGTTAGGTATTTCTTCCACCACAAATATTTGCTGACGGAGGGTCCAAAGACTGAGAGCCCGTAGTATGTGTACATCAGTACATGAATGCCGCTATTAACCATCGCAGGGAGGAATGCTGTAAAAATGCAAATAAATTGAATACAACTTAAACAACGTTGCATTCAAATAATTAATGGTTGGTAAAGGCTAGGCGAAGAATCGTATGAAGAAGATAGCCGCGGCATAATATTCGGCATTGTTCCGTCATAGACAAGAAATTGATTAATTAATAGTTAAGGGGACAAAATGATAAAGCACGAATAGTCTTTCGTCCAATATACATGCGTAAGAATATCTTAAATCTGAACAATGCTGCAAGATTCCGTACCGTATATCAATTTTATTTAACTTTTGAAACATACATTTAAGTAATTATTACCATTTCACACTTACCTAACTAAACGCGTGTTTTTGAGACCAAAATCCCCGTTTAAAACATGATATCTCTGTTTTGTCAAAGATAATGACGAGGATGACGATATGTTTTATACAGATAAATTGATTTCAGAAACCAATGGTAAGTGATAAATAGTTCCACATTAAATTACATTAAGAGTCTTAGAGAAAATAAAGGTCAGTACAGTTGCTAGTGTAAGCCAAAGAAGCCCTAATTTAATTACGTTAGAATCCAGCTTTGTTCTCGTCAGCGTTCACTGAACTATTTTATAAGGTTCTTCCTGCATACTGCTATTATTAACACAATCTTCATACTGAACTTAATATAATATTATTTGTAATAATAGCTTGTAGTATAATTATAGTGCGTAGTTGAGAGCCCAGCACCGTTAGTACTTACGTCATTATATTTGCTTTGTTTAATTGAAGGAAAATATTTATTTATTTGTCTAATGAACGTATATTAAGAGACATAGATGTAATAAAAATGTTACTTTTGTTATAAATGCGAATGTTTGGATGGATGGAATGATGTTTGTGAGAACGGCTGAACGGATGTCGATGAAAATTGGCTTGCATATAGGACATAGTCTGGATGAACACAGGCTACTAACAGTGTTTTTTTTTAATTCCGCGCCGTGCCGCTGTCAACAGCTAGTTAAGTTATAAGTTCAATAACTCACTCGATCCACTGGGCACCCATTTAATGCCGATCCACCAAAAACTGAACATTGTAGAGTGGTGATAAACATGCAGGAACGTTAGCTGCTCTTCTTTCTTTCTTAATATAAAGAAGAATGTATCACAGAATTCTAGAAGTTTCGAGAAATAGTACCACCAAACTGCATCTGCTATCTAGAAGAGGTTCAAAATTTAGTTATAGTCATTTGTCAGAGGCCTAATATTAGTCCTCTTTCCTTTTCCATTATTTTTGTATAAAAAAGGATGGGAAGAGGAAAAGGAATAAGTGTTACAAACATTTTATTTCAGTGCTACATGTCACAATCAGCTACCTCTTTAATCGACGGAGGAGGGGACGTATAATAAGGGGATATTTTTATTTCTGTGCGTCCCCTCCTCCGTCGATTAAAGTGGTACACGATTGTGACATTAAGCGCCGAAGAAAAACGTATGCAACCGTTTGCTTTTTTCTTTTTTACGAGAAACATTTACATTAATAATATTGCATTAATACGCAGATTGATTTACAAAAGACACTTTGTAAAGTACATATAAATTTGCTCTCGCAACGAGGGTTAATATGTTTCAGGTCTATAATTTTACAGCTAGTGCTGTTTACTCTATTGTTAGGTTTTAGCTGCTTATATTAAAAGTTTTTTATTAAACTACATAAGCTTCGGATTATAGTTCAAAGCTTGTTTTGTTTGTTGCAACTAATCTGTATTAAAAAGTTCTGTATATTTTTAGTGTTATCTATAAAATATATTTAAATGAAAATAAATCAAGTTGCATCATAATCTTTTGTATCTCTTTAAGGATGTCGGATAAATCTTACTATTAATTTTTAGATGAGTGGATGGATGTATGTTTGTTTGAAGGTATCTTCGCAACAGTTAAACGGATCTTAATGAAATTTGGCATATATGTAGAACATAGTCTGTAAGAAAACATAGGCTACTAGTAAATTTTATGTATTATTCCCCTCCGACGGAGACGGGGCGACAGCTAGTTAGTATTAAAATTATTGAAAAGATACAATAACTCACTTGCAATTCATCAGGATCATATTTTTGTCGACACGGCTCACATATGTAGCTGTACCTCAATCTAAAGGAAGCTGTCAGTAGCCTAACTGCTATGTACGCGTTGAGAGCCGCCATTGCCAAGTTGTAGGGAACAAGTAACCACGTCAGCTGAAACGGCTGACGATTCTTCATTAACTTAGGGCCAATCCATACTATGAATAAGTATAGAAGTGTGTAGAATACTGTTGGTAAAGGAGAGTCCACGAGTGGCCATCCTTTTGTTCTGTTATCTGCAAAGGTAATTAAATTATTTTAGTAATTAAACGTTAAAATTGATTATTTAACATTTTCTTGATACACATTGAAATAAATTAGTTAATTTTAATATACCAAAATATTTTTTACAATATTTTTTATATATTGTGATATTTTATTTTACCTGAAAGTGATAACGTCCAAAGATAGTAATCGTACGTATCTTTTAATACACTTTGTGTTGAATTTACTAATATCGTTGCCATACTGAGGATTCGATTAGATGAAGGTATTATCTGAAACAAAAAAGAAAACTTTATTTAATAATTTTTATTTGTAGAAAAAACTTTGATATTATTTAAGTTTGTTGTACTAAAGATTTCAAATAACGTTTTGAGCGGGCTAATATATTGATGAAGGAAATCGCAAATTCAAAGCGGTTTAAATGATTTTTAATTCTTCATATTATAGGTTATAAAATGAGTTCATTACAAAGGCACCCTTACACCCTTAGTAGCAAAAATCTCACCAAACACAGGATGTGTTTTATTACTTCGTTTACAATCCTACCAAAGATATTAATTTTATCATTAAGTTTAGTTTTATTTAGAATGCATTTTTGTACTAAATATTAAAGAAATTATTACTAACATGATATGTTACATTATAAAAATCGTTATTGGTACTCATGTCTATTTGTACTTTACAAAAGAAAAATAATAAACTTTCTTCAATGTCCGGTCACGTTGTTTGCTTGTTTAATATATCCTTAAAACAATGCATTAATAAAGATGTTATAAATTGTGTACTGCATATTTAACACGAGCGTTGACGAGGCATATTCATGAAGAAAGCAACATGCATTTAAAATTGCATATATACGTAGACTAGTTGTGACCCGCCAACGCACGCGTTCTTTTCTTATTATTCCGACAGTTGTTTACGTTTTTCATTGGAAAATATTAATAAATTTAATGCTAAGTAATGATTATTATGTATTTATGTTAGGAACCTTATTATTATGTCATTTTGTAGTATTAAAATTTAATAATATAGTGAATATAATTACTTTATTTGCAATTTGTATTTATCAGCTGTGACAACTCAATGTGTACATTCAAGTACATATACACAGATATATATGTTTGTAATTTGAACGTACTAAATCGAGGTTCATAGTTCGAGGCGAGAAACCAAAGATACTTTTAATAATAATATTAATAATAATGATTTATTTAAACCAAAGTACACATAAAAATATACATCCATTGTTGGAGCATCCTTTTAAGTATATAATACCTGTGACAGAATGCTCCGTCCTTCCGTACCATACATTTTTATTTTTATATACTTAACACATACATACATTAATAGACAGGACATAAAGATGTGCAACCGGTACAGCTTTGATCGTCTTGTTTGACATTCGTGACTGATAGCGATACTGATGCTGATATGCGGATGCAATTAAAACATTTAAAGGAAAGTTTTCATGTCCGCTGTATAGCTAGTTCTATATTTAAATATTATATCTTTACAAGAAATCATAAGTTAAACATGATTTGTAATAAGGGGAAAATTTGACATTCCACAGACTTATTACGATTATCTTGTGTCACAGAACGCTCACAAAATTGTGACTACGCGTCAGTATCAGTCAGCCTTGCATGTCATATTTGTGACAGTCACCCTCGTATCATCATCGACAAAATTTATATTAAAAGTTGTGCAGCGCCCCCTATTGGGCGAAAGTACACAAAAAATCTTACACAAATTTTGACTTAATAATGACTTAATACGAAGGCAATTGTCATAAATATTTGCGCTAGGCCCTCAGTTCTAAAATTCCGAGGCGTGATAGCATTTAGCTACAATATGCTAAACAGCTATAGTATAGTACAGTTAATATTCATAGTACAGTTGTTTATTTCCTTTACATTTAAAATGTGCCGAATCATTAGTGAAAGTTAAACCGCTGTAGCTCCATATATAATAGCTCAGCCGTTGTTATTTCTTTACTGGCTATTGCCCACGACTTCGTTCACATGATGAATAGTGCACTATGTGTTATTTGAGTTGTTCTATACCTGTGCCAAATTTCAATACTTTATTAGTATTGCAGATTTATCAACGTACCCCATAGAAACGGGATATAACTACGGGTGCATACCAAATTTCGAAAAGACCCAAGAATTCTTTCTGAACATTCTGACATCCATCTATTCGTCTCCGAAATTCGTATTTATGATATGAGTGTTTTATTTAGATATTTGTTCAATGTTTAAAAAAATTATTTGGTAATGAAAGTAATAACTTAAGCAAATAATTTTAATAACATAAAAATATCTGCATTTTTTATTTAAATACTAAGTTAATGCCTTTTATAATTGTAATTTTATGAATCTAGAATTTTCTAAATCTTTATTTTGCAGCTTATTTTGTAGTGTTATTCAAGTTCTCTCTTCCGAGTATTCCCGCGAGTTTGTATGTTTATTTATTCATTCTTTTTGTAGAAGTAAATATCTACTTTATGGTTATACATAATATTGACATAATGGTGTTATTTAACGTGTTCAAGGATTGAATGTCTTGTTTACGTTTGTGTTAAAGTTACAATGCATAATATAACTTTAAGTTTAAGTACCACTTATAACATTGGGTACTAAAACAACTTAGTAGAACTTTGTTTAAGTATTTATTGAAACATATAAAATATAATAACATTGGTAAGTTAGCTAAGGTTATTTCTTTAAAGAGGAACGTAGTCACGGCGTGCTAAGAACGACTGGACTGATTTTGCTTATACTTTTTTGTTCTGTTAATTATTGCCAGGAGAAGGTAAGAAAATTAGGAAAACGATTTTTTTTCCGCGCCGGCGAAGTCGCGCGCAAATGCAAGTATAAAAATGTTATTATTTAAATCAATAACTACTTGTCCCCTGCGAATCCGGACGCGAAGAATAAAAAAAATAGTAGAACATTTGTTCTTCTAGAATATGTTCTACATCTATGACAAGTTTCAGCGAGATCCATGCTGCCGACGTCCATCCATCCAAACATTCGCATTTATTTGTTAGATGTTAAGATTAAAAAACCCGACTAACATTCAAGGAATGAATAAGAATTGAATGTCATTTCACTCGTACAAAATCAGTTCAGTCATTTAGACTTTAGACCATCCCAAAAGAAACTTTCAAACATCCATATACATAAAACTTAAATACGGTAAAAAACATTACCCATGTCAGTCTGGTAATACAGTATTGGATATTGTAAATATATCGCTATTCCACGAATGCATTAAGAATGTTCTTTACTATTCCATTAGTATATTCGACATAAGGCGTTGCCTGAGGGAATTATAGTACTTTGCCAGCTGTTGAGCTAATGTTCGTATGTTTTCTTTTTAAAGTTCATGTTCGAAATATCCACGAACACAAATTTTCAATGTTTATTTCTTTTGCATTCTTTGCTTTCAACTTGCATGGTACTATATTTTATTATTCGGCTTATAATCTTATTTATATTAAAAATGCGAAAATTTAGACGAACTGATGTCTGTTAGAAGTTATGTTCGGAACGGCTTAACGGATCTTGATGAAACACATGCGTAAAATATAGTCTGGAAGAACACATAACCTACATATTAAGTTTTTTTTTAATTCCACACGGATAATCCGCGGGTGACGGCTAGTTTTTTTTAATATACTTGTATTTCAGTATTGTTTAAGAAATGATAAGATAAGGAGCATTGTATATTTCAAAGTTAAATTACATTTTAATATAACTTTACTAAGAGTTAAAAAATTATTTGGTTGCCTTACTGTGTGGTATTTAAAAAAAAATATGCTACCATAAATTGAGTATTTTAAGGCACATTGACAATTATAAATATAGAGAAATTTTATTCAACGATTTCTCCCGTCGATTGCATTTTAAAATAAATTCATTGTTGTCAGTCAAATGTATTGAGTTCAAGCATTTCTAACAAAGAGATAGGAGTCTTTTGTAGTTAGCACATCTCAATGGTCATTCAATGAAGAGAAAGTGATGGTGTGAGGTTTGCGCGGGTGCGAGGGACACGGCGGCATGCACCACAACTCTGTGGCGACAGACCAAGTCCGAGAACACATTTAGATATCGTCAGTATTGTATTGTAATGTATGGGTATCGTATTCTGTATAATATAAACTCTCTATCAATCGATACTCTTAACCATTAACAGACTGTTTCCATATACAGCGTGTCCCAAAATTCAACGATAAAATGGAAATGGTGTATAGCTAGCTCGATAACTACACCGGGAAAAATACTAAAAAAGTCTCTTTTTGTTTAAAAGTTACATTAACTTTTGTAACTTTTCTTATAATTTGATTCCCTCCACCATATGATTAGACACTGTGGCTACAAATATAAAGATAGAAAAAGATTTTTTTTTAGTATTTTTCCCGGTGTAGTTATCGAGCTGGCTATATACACCATTTCCATTTTATCGTTGAATTTTGGGACACGCTGTATATATTCATGTCTCTTTGTTTCATTGTAATCTCATCGACTTGATCCATTATAAAGAATGAAATACGGCATTGGATGTATCAAAATGTTTGATTTTAAAAATCAAATAACATATTTCTATGATAATGGATCAAACTCTCGTGTTCCACTTTGGTGAAACTCTGTTATTACTTTAACTAAACCGTCTCAATCCTATCAGTTGTTTCAAGATCCGATTAAATTCATTGTCTGTTTATTTAAGAAAGCAGTCGTGGGAAATTATACTCTGTTAGAAATTATACAAATTATTTTATTCAGTCTCTTTAAGGTTTTCTGAAAACTTCAGATAACTTGATATTTAACTGACATGTACTTAATAAATGTCTTCCAAATCACGTGGAAAAATATATAATCGCGTAATGGAGTACTAGAGGTCTAATTTTGCCACGTTCCGTTCCGACCCTTTTCTTATTAGGAATTGGATTTGACGGAGGCAGAGACGCGTAGGAAGTGGACGAATATTCTCTTAGAAGAGTAACTATATCGTAACAAATTTAAAAGGCTATTGTTTGAAAAAAAAAAACAACTCTAAGCTAAGTAAATAAACCCAATTAATCCAGCTAAAACAATGTCATTAAAAGGCTTTTAGTTACTTATTTATTGACTTAGCCGCCCTCGAAGTAAAATAAGAAACGAAATGTTATAAGACTCGGTCCTTTGTTTAAGATCCATTCAAGTGTTTGAATGTATATATACTTTTATATTTATTAATTTTAAGTGTTTAAAATTATACTAATTTTATAAACTCGAAAGAATGGATGGAATTATTTTATTACGTTTTACCAAAATACCTTAACGGGTCTCGATGTTTCGTAAATAGTCTGGAAGAATGTATAGGTTCTTTTTATTTTTTAATTCCGCGCTCATGAAGTTGAGGGCATATTATTATTGCCTAGCACGTATTTAATAGCGTCTTACCCTTTGTAGAAGAAAAAAAATACTAAATAATTCGTATGTATTGCAGACAAATTCTTCGCACCGGATAAGAGCTATCCAAAGCGTTTTCAACCATTGTAAGCTGCACTTCACTCTTTTGCATATGAATCGCTTGAGAATGCAAAAATTGCTGTCTTTTATTTCGACATAAGAACGCAATTACATAATTAGGAAAATTCTTTTAAATTCTTTTAAGATAAATAGTTATAGAAAATAAAATTGACAGGAATGTTGGAAAATATCTAAATATAAAAAAAAGACTTTTGCTAGGAGCCGAAATTATTTTAAATTATTAAAAATATCTAATTAGTGTTATCGCCTTTAAGAATAAATAAAAAAATGATTAAATCTCACCTCTAACTTAAAATAATAATTTGCACTTAAGCACTCACTAACTGTAACGTTCAGTAAGTTAGACCGGAAATAGGCGTAGAGGTAGAGGCGGCACACGCGCTGCGCCCGCGACTCTCCGCTCACAACTGCAATAACTTAATTCGCGGACTCGTCCAAGTTGTGTCAGGAGAGCTTAACTTACTAATAACGAACAGCTTTTGTATTTTGATAAATTAATCGCTACGTTCTTAAATAATAGCCAAAGATTTTTTACTTAAATCTAAAAACGAAATGCTTGACTTTGACCATAACTTCCTAGATAAAATATTCCTTTTAATTTTTTTTCAATCGTTAATTTTAGAAGATTTTAAAATTTAATTTTAGACATTTTTGGAGACTAAAGAATAATAATAATTTGTGATCATCATCATCATCAGCTCACTATACGTCCCCACCGAGGGGCTCGGAGCCTACCCTAAGTTAAGGGTGATTAGGCCATAGTCAACCACGCTGGCCAAGTGCTGGTTGGTTGACTTCACACGTATCTTTGAATTTCTTCTCAGATATGTGCAGGTTGCATCGCGATGTTTTCCTTCACCGTAAGAACGTCGGATAAATGTACATATGTAAATCGGAAATCAAAAAAAAAAACATTGGTACATGGCGGGATTCGAACCCAGGACCTGCAGATTGCAAGTCAAGTGCTTGACCACTGAGCCACCGACGCTCCGAATAATTTGTGATACCATGTATTATATGACTATAAATAATTCTTACTTTTGACGTACATTAGAAAAATTTATAGCAATTCTTCGTCAAATTTCATTTTGTTAAGTTTACATAAGTATCAATAATATTAATAAAAGAGAAATTATTTTAACAGGACTATAATAGAAATACAATAATAACGAAAAGCTCAAACAATCTTGATAAATTCCAAGTCTTTCACTTTTACAACGTACAACTAATTTGCATTCCTCGTAGCGTATAGCACTTTGTTCCGCCTTGTTGAGCTGAGTCTTATTTCAAACGACAACAAATAATCATGTTTAGTCAAGATTAACTTTAAGCTTTATATTTTTAGGATTTTAATAAATAAATCTCAATATTACGAATATTTAATTAATTAAGTAATGAAATATTTTCAAAGGCAATTTTATCTAAGACAATATATGTAGCTACTATTCCTCTACATAGACACTATCTTTTGTATTCTGTATATGTCCGTAAAGTATATTAAAAATATATGCATAGACATATAGAGGAATCAAAAAAAATTATGACTGTTAACAGGAAATAAAAGAGTGTCGGTGGCGCAGTTATTAAGCGTTTGACCGAACCGGACCAATGTGTATTTCGATTTTTGCAATTGCATACGTCAATTTCTCCGAGATTTTTTCGACGAAGGATAGCATCGTGATGCAACCACAACACAAACTATGTTCTAGTTAATTGGGTAGCCTCTGTGCTGACGCGGAAATAGAAAATTGTTTAGCTCTCGAATACTTGGCAAAACCGAGCACCATCCTAAGAATTTTTGCGGTAAGGAAGGATGAGTTTTCGTAGGTTAATAAAATTTTGTATAAGTTATTAGATTTCCTCGTAAAATTAGATTTTATTATAAGTCAGACGTACATAATATTCAACATAACTTTATTTACGTCCAGGTATTTAACTTATTACAGTTATGTAGTATAAACATAATTATATCTTCCTTAAGTAAATATGTGATTAATTATATATGCGAATAGATGGATGGATAGATATTTGATAGAAGGTATCTCCAGAACTGTTGCATGGATTTCATTGAAATTTGGCATATCGTAGAACATAGTCTGGAAGAATACACATAGCCTACTAAGTTTTTTTATAATTCCGCGCGGAGGGAGTGGCGGGCGAAAGCTAGTATGTGATAAGTGGCAAAAACATGTGACGTACTTCCAAGAACACTTGCTACACGGCACATCGGCTGGAAAGGTTATGTAATGTTTTTGCAATGAAAGTGCTTAACTTACGTAAACGATATTTGATGACCGGAGCATCATAAAGGTCACCGGCAGCATCTCTCTGACTCATGAATTCTTGTTTCCAATCTCGTTAAGAAATTCTCCAGTACTAAAATATTTGTCTACCGTCTCCTAACCTTTAAAGAAACTTCTAAAATATCCGTAACATCGGGCATAGGCGATATTCCTTAAGGGAAACATTTTTTTAAACATACAGAATTATACGTCTAATTTGAATACATTGTTAAAACTTGAAGTAATCTATTAAGCAAAACAGTTAATTTACATTTTCATAAACCGAATATAGAATAACTTTACTTTATTCAATTCTATATATAATTTTCCTTAAGTTTCCTTTTTATAAAAATAGATCCGAGTGTTACAAAAATAAAAAAAATTATCCTGCGCCTGATGGCTCCATTGAAATTTAGATATAAATCTATTGAATTGTATATTAACGACAATGTATGTAATTTTAGACATTATTAGTTAAAATCCTTTGGCGCCATTCGCGTCAGTCGCCTTGCAAAGTCAATTGTCAGAATGATTAGTGAGCGGACATAAACGTTGAAATTTATTGAGGCTAGTGTTGCGCCAGTATACCGGCACAGTGTCGGATTTTGTTCCTAACAGTACATAAAGGCATTATGAGTACATAGAAGAATACGTTTGAAAGATACGTCAAAGTTTATTTAAAACAAACAGATATTTCCGACGGCCTCTAGAGTTATATCTTTATCTTTCAATATTTAACTTCCTCAGTTCCATACACTTCTACAATTCTCGAGAAACTTGTCATAACGTTTCGTTACTGAGAGCTTTGTCGATTTCACTATATATCACTTGAGATAAATATGATAACTTTAACTACCTACTTTTAAGCAAACATTTGTTGAATACCGTTGTTTAATTAATCTGACTACTCGATTCTGAGTCGTAATATAATAATTCAGGGACCGATGATTATCGCGTTATCATATTTTATAATTAAGCTATGAAATATATTATATAATAACTATAACAATTAACTAAGTGTTTTACGGAATAAAAATATAGATGAATAAGTTTTAAAAAAAAGAAGGAAATTAAAAAAAAAGAATAGACTTACTGACCTTCTGTATTATTATAATTGTCAAAACAATGTCATTACATGTTACTAATATCATAAATGCGAATGTTTAGATGTTTGTTTGAAAGTACGAAACATAATCTGGAAGAGCACATAGGCGACGAATTACGTTTTTATTAATACACGCGGCGGGAGTCGCGGGTAACAGCTAGTCTTGCTATGAAAACCATGTTTTTTTTAATTTTAAAACAATCGGTGTCCAGTAATCGATCTCGGAATCGGTGCATCATGAACCGGGCATCAATTACGCAGCCAACGTAACCGACTCGATAAATATAGGTTTGTCAATTTTGTAATCTTCCAAGAGTCGAAAGCAAGTGACGTTCGCCTTTCACTGCACGCGAACAATTGACCGAATGTGTCAGTCATTTCCTCTTAAACATTCATATCATTTTGACCATTATAAACATAAGCAATAGAACACAGAATGCCCTGCATTTAATAGATTCTTAAAGGCGTTTATGCTCTATCTACGGTACACACGAGGACGAGACGAACTAAGGAATTTCGCTTGGGCAAATACTATTTGAAATTGTGTAATATTAAAAGTAACTGCCATTATCAATTTAATATTATTAACTAGCTGTCACCCGGGATTCCGTCTGCCAGGAAAAAAAAGTAGCCTATTTGTTATTTTCAGCGATATCTATGCAGCCATTATGGAGATAATATCTAACATACATGCATCCATTCATACCAACATTCGCATTTATAATATTAGCAATGCCTTCTTTTCTAGTAGGTATATATTTTTTTTTCATATACAACACAATGTGTTTTGAATATAACAAACAACAAAACACACAAACTTAAGTGATCTATATTACTTAAGTTTGTGTGTTATAGACCAAGAGTTATAGACCAAGAAGAATAAATTCAAAGCTTTTAGAAAATGAAGCCTAAGGCTATAAAATGAAAAATTTTCGGTTAAATTTTTATTTAAACAGGTGAATAAGGCTCTTGACAGACATACTGACGGACAACAAAATGATCCTATAAGGGTTCTGTTTTTCGTTTCAAGGTACGGAACCCTAAAAATGGGACAGGCCTACATCCAACAATGACCATAGGCTGAAATAAATTATAATGTTATATTACTTTATGCCGTAATTAAATTAATTAAAATATGTGCGATGTTAAAATAGGTATCCGTGTTATTGTATTAACAAACAATAGTCGTGTTCTCATAATTATTTATATTAAATTAAATTATATCAGTCATCGGACATGAGATTATTGTAAGTTTATGATAATAACATACTGTTATCGTGTTTACATTTTACTTTTTTATATCATAAGGCGGCAAATGAATTATTTCAGGTGGCCTGAAATAGCAGAATTAGCGAAGCGACCGTTCCCCATAGACATACGCAATTGCACATGCGTTGCCTACTTTACCTGCAATTTATAATGTATATGAGATAGAAAAGATGTAAGTGTAAACTATTATTTATTAATACTTTGAAGTTTACGTTGGATGTATTCCATAGAAACTGAAAAAAAACTAACCTAAAAAAATTAATTCGATTTTTAGTTCCGAACATATACTATAGTTTCCTTTTACCTTCTTATAGTCAACTTGTCTTTCTTATCACGGAAGAGGCACAGTATGAACTCCTTGAACAGTATAACCTTTAATACATCTCTGTACTAAACGTATCTCCCATTTGTCGTGATCTTGGTGGTACTTAGGTCAGATCAACCTTTATTTATGAAATTTTAATTGTGTTTATATAATTTGAAGTCTGTTCCGGGTGTAAAATGCCTTTCTAATTCCGTCACTATTACGTTCGAGTAACGAGGGGAAATCTTTTAAATTATGATATTGAACTATTATTAGTAATAGAGTTATGCAATGTATTATTGAATTGCCATTGTGTATGTAAATAACTAAGAGTGGCAATATAACTTGTGAAGTTATTAATTAACAAACAAAAGTAAGAGTTAATTAACACGCGTATCGATATAGGAAACTGTTTATATAAAACGAAATCGCTTTTATAAATAATAGCTGTCGCCTGCGGCTTAATCCGTAG